CTCCGCACTACCCCCACACCTCTGCTCCACAGCCCGACCTGCCCCCCCCAAACTAGGGTTGCCAACTTTCTAATAAAAAGAACGAGGAGTCCTTGTAGCACCTTAGAGACTAACAAATGTATCGTTAGTCTCCAAGGTGCCACAAGGGCGTCTCCTTCTTTTCACTGATACAGACTAACACGGCTACCACTGAAACCTGTCAACTTTCTAATGCAGTGGTCCCCAACGTGGTGCCCGCGGGCGCCATGGCGTCCGCCAGGGCATCTACGTGCGCCCACCTACTGACAAGGGAGCGCCCCGCCGCCAAGATGCCACCGAGAAGCGGCAACATCAAGAAGCGTTGCCACCGAAATGCCGCTGCTTCTCGGCTGCATTTCGGCAGCTGCTCGTCCGGCGGCCGTGCTCTTCGGCCGCTAGTTGTCAGGTGCCCGCCCCACAGAAAAGGTTGGGGACCACTGTTCTAATGGCGGGAACCTGAACATCCCTGCTCCTGCCCCTTCAATGAGGCCCCGCCCCCACTTCATCGCTCCTCCCTCAGTGGCTCGCTCTCCCCCACCCTCACTCACTTTCACCTGCTGGAGCCTGGGGCAGGCAGCTGGCGACGCTTACCTCAGGCAGCTCCTGGTCAGTGGCGCAGCAGGGCTAAGCCAGGCTCCCCGCCTGTCCTGGCTCTGCGCTGCTCCCGGAAGCGGCTGGCAAGTCCCTACGGCCTCTAGGCGCAGGGGCGATTAGGAAGCTCTGCGCGCTGTCCCGACCTCAAGTGCTGGCTCCAGACTCCCATTGGCCCCATGCCTCTGCTCCACCCCCCAACACTTGCCTCTCCACACCTTCTGCCCCACCCTGCCCACCTGACACCTGCCCCCCCACCTTCCACCCCGTGCCCCTGACGCCTGCCTCCGCCCTCAGCCCCCCACACCTGCCCTCACCCCGCAGTACAGCACCCCTAGCGCCGCCCTGCTGCCAGCCTTGCCTGCCAGGGGACAGCACTCCCTAGTGAGCCCACCACCCCGCTCCCTGCCCCACTGTGCCCCCTAACACCACCATGGGGCCAGCCTGGCCTGCCAGGGGAGAGCAACTCTGCTGAGCTCCCCGCCCCGCTCCCTGCAGCACAACGCCCTAGTGCCACCTGTCACGGACTCACCGGGCGATGCTCTGGAACTGCTCCCTACGAAGCCAGTCAGGACTCTGGGGGAACCTCCTCTCTGTGAGCAGACTGTCTCCAGGGCAGGAAGCTCACACAGCTTCGACCTTCCTGGGTCTGACCTTGGAGCATTCAGCATCCCCTTCCACACCGTGCTTCCCGCAGCGAGTCTGCACAGGCGGGGCTCCTGGGGAAGCCAGTGGGCCCTGCACCCCAACTCCGCAGTCAGATCTGACTCTCAGCCAGCCAGTAAAACAGAAGGTTTATTAGACAACAGGAACACAGTCTAAAACAGAGCTTGTAGGTACACACAACAGGAGTCCTCAGTCAGGTCCATCTTGGGGAGTAGGGAGCACAGACCCCGGTGCTGGGCCTCCCTCCATTTCCCCAGCCAGCTCTAAACTGAAGCCCCCTCCAGCCCCTCCTCTGGCCTTTGTCTCTTTCCCGGGCCAGGAGGCCACCTGATCTCTTTGTTCTCCAACACCTTCAGTTGGCCCCTTTGCAGGGGAGGGGCCCAGGCCATCAGTTGCCAGGAGATAGGGTGTCGGCCATTCTCTGTGCAGACCCCTGCACACCACTGCCCCCCTAGGGCTCTGCAACAATCACACACCCTTATCCCACCACCTAGATACTTAAGAAATGCATAGGGGAAACTAATGCGCCTTGCTCCCTACCATACAGTGCCCCCTAGCGCCGTCCTGGGCAGGGCCGGTGCAAGGATATTTTGCGCCCTAGGCGTAACTTCCACCTTGCGCCCTCCCCTCCTCTCCCCTCGGAACATCGCTTATTATAAACTTTCAAAAATGAATACTGCATAATGTGCCATTGTTCATTAGAATAACTACAAGGGGGTCAGAGGAGATGATCACAATGGTCCCTTCTGGCCCGGGAGAACCTATGAGCAAGGAGGAGGCTGAGAATGCCCCCAGCTCGCAGGGTCTCTAAACGTTCCCAGACTCTGGGGACCCAGGGGCAAGGAGGGCAGAGCTGGGCTCTCCCAGGGAGCAGGTGAGGATCTCCCTGGGGATCAGGGCTGGCTCCCCACATTGGCACAGTGCCACTGGGGGGGGTCGGTGTTTGGAAGTGGCACCTGCGCCAGCCCTTTCCCCTCCGTCGTGCTCCAGGGTTTAGTTTCACTTTCCCTCGCCCCAGAAGGCGGCTGCGCCTGGCCCCAGGCGCGGCGCGTTGGGGGGCAAAGCTCACCTGAGCTCAGGACCGCGTCCTGCCTCCCCCAACAGCTCTGTCCCTCAGCCATGCTGGTTGCCGCGCCCAGCCGGCTGTCTCCTCCTTGCTCCGCCACAGGCTCCCACTGACCGTCCTGCACGGCACCCCTCGCTGCGGGGGCGGGTTTGTAATGGAGGCCTCGCTCCCCGCCCTACCCCTCTCAGCTGACTCCCATGACGCTGGACACCGCTTTTTGGCACCCCCAAATCTTGGCGCCCTAGGCAGCCGCCTAGTTCACCTAGTGGTTACACCAGCCCTGGTCCTGGGGCTAGCCCTGCCTGCCAGGGGAGTGCACACCCTGTTGAGCTGCCCTCCCCACAGCCTACAGTACAGTGCCCTCTAGCGTCACCCTGGGGCCAGCCATGTCTGGCAGGGGAGAGTGCCGTGTCCTTGCTCCTCCTCCTCCTCCCCTCCCCCTGAGCCTTCTGCACACCACAAAACAGCTGATCGCGGCTGGTGGGAGGCGCAGGGATGGAGAGTTAGGCGCTGATCCGTGGTGCTGCTGGCGGGTGGGGGGAGCTGATGGGGGGCTGCTGATGTGTTACTGTGGCTCTTTGGCAATGCACATTGGTAAATTCTGGCTCCTTCTCAGGCTCAGGTTGGTCACCCCGGTCTATCTACACAGCAGCTAGGAGGTTGCTCCCTAGCCAGGTGGACAGAGGCACAGTTTTATTCAAGCTAGTGCGCTAACAGTAGCAGTGTGGCCCCAGGGTGTGGGTGGCCGCCAGAGTACAATCCCACTCACCCTCGGGGAACATACTCAACAATCTGCCATGGCCCTGCTGCTATTGGAACCAGGCTAACTCATGTGTACCAGTCTGCCCATGCTGGGAAGCAGCCCTTGCATCTCAGGACAGGCCTGACCCCCGGTGCCCAGCCCTGTCCTGAACTGGAAATTGCCCACTTCCACAGTGTGAACTGGGACTCTCTCCTCCACACCCCGCACTCTGCACTGGCTGGCAGGGGCATGGGGTCTGAGTCATGGTGCCTGTGTCTGGTGATAGACAAGGAGGTGACTTGGAGGGCAGGTGCAGAGGGCCCATCTGCCCTGGAATGGGGCAGGGACACCACTGGCTCAGGAGGTGAGTGGGCAGGGTCTGGACTCTGCCTGGGACCTTTCTCCTTTGACAGATGGTCAAGCAGCAACACTCTTTCCCTCAGCAGTGGGGCTAGCACTGGTGGGGAGCCCCACAGGACCAGCTGCTTCCCAGGTGTGTCTGCAGTTCAGGTCAAGGGCAGTAGGGTGAGGATCAGGGAGGGAAGGGCCAGCCCCATGTTGCCCCGTGACCTGCTCTCCCAGCCAGGAACCAGCAGGAGGTAACAGACTGTCTGGGAGGGTGCTGTCTTGGGGAGGTGGGGTGGGAGGAATGGGGCCCTCTGTGAGGGAGGGAAACTATTGGGAGGGTGAGTAAGGAGATCGATGGTGCTAGGGGGTCATGGGAGCTGTGCACGGTCAACCCTGGCTTCCCCCAAAGGGCACAGCACAAACGTCTCTGCTTGTTCTCAGGCACCTTTCTGGGATGGGCCTGGGACCGGGGCCAGCAGCAGACATGGGGCAGAGTGAGTCTGACCGCAGGATGAGCAGGAGGTAGGTGCTGTCCTGTTCCTTGCTGGGGTCCCCTGGCAGTTTGTCCTCTGCAGCCTGGCAGTCACTGGAGTGAGTGAGTTCCCAGCCTCTCAACCCCATCTTTCCACCCCTGCCACCCATGTTCAGAGAGCTCCCCCTGCTGGTGTTGTCCACTGACTGGACAAGGACCTGAAGAGACCCCCCCCCACCAGCACCATTTCCTGGGCGCTGGGACACTTCCCTAGTGCAGGGCACCTTGGCTGGCATCCCAGTCAGAGTCCTCCCCAGGGCCCCCACTTGCCCCAGCAGGATGCCCCTCCCCTCTGACTTGGGAATGTTAAATCCAGCATCCAGGTCACGTTCCAGCTCCACGAATCCCCCAGCTCCCATGGGAACCTTCTTCCCAGATGAGGTACTGGGTTTGGCAGAAGCCTCTCCAGAGCCCAGCGGCCTTCTGGGATGTGTCTGGGTAGGTGTGGCCTGCTGGGTCCTGCCCAGGACACAGTGTCCCAGGATTGCTGGAGACTTGCCCTCCACTTCAATGTCCTTTCTACTTCTGCACTGTTATGTGCCCCTTGAACAGCTGCCAGCCTCACTCCAGAGGTGGCTGCATTTCAGTGGTGAGCCAGTGGTCTCTGCACACACTGCACACTCAGCAAAGTGTGTTGGGATGGAAGGTGCTATGGTCAGATCCTTATGCCCAGATGTTGGGGGAGCAGCCGTAGGGCTGGGCCCATGGGCTTTGATGGCAGCATCAGCCTGCCTGCTGCACTGAAGCTCTGTCTGCATCTCTCTCCACAATGGGCTCACAGCCCAACCTTAAGTTCTTTGTGGAGGATCAGCTCCAGACCAGCATGGTGAGGAGGGGCGGCTGGGGGGTTATGCCTGGGATGTGGGGCCAGGTGTGGTGTCTCCTGGAGGGTTTGTATTCCCAGGGGATATGGAGCAGTGTAGTGGTCTCACCCGTGGGCAGTGGACGTGCTGGCCTGCTGGCATAGCCCACGGTCCCCGACCCAAGGCAGCACAGCTCCTGGTGGGATGGGAGGCTCTGATACTTGCCCAGGAATGCGCTGGCACCTTTGGGGCTCAGCCATCCCTGGGCAAGTCTTGGCTGGTGAGTGGAGGGGCTGATGGGGTCAGACGCTGTCCTTGGACTGGGGGAGGGGCTGGGAAAGAATTTCCCCCTGGTTTGAGCTGTGGGGAGCCTGCTGGCTTCCAGTTCCTCTAGTGCTGTGTGTGGCTGCCCTGCCCCGCCCCCATTGGTCCCTCCGACAGCAGGGGTGGGGTGTGTGGCAGGCGGGAGGAGTTACTAGCTGAAGGGCAGGCTGGGAGGGGTTCTCCCTACTCGCCCAAGACCTGGCCTGGGGCAGCATTGCTGATGGAGCAGCCAGCCCAGCTACTGTACAGCCCTGGCACCCTGCAGTGCAGCCCGGCACCCTGCAGTGCAGCCCCCCTCCCTGGGATGTGGCCCATGCAGTCGCAGCTGTGCAGGTCAGGTGCTTGGCTTGTGGTGCTGCATTATATGCTGGGTCCGGCTGTTACTGATTCACACGGTCTGTGCTGAGCCGTGCCCTTTGCATAGCATCCTGGGGTGACCCCTGTAATGCATCAGATCCCAGGGGTCACATTGTCTCAGCAGGGCAAGCCACCAGCCTCAGCACCTCTAAGTCTGGGCCTCTGGGCTCCATCGCCCCCTGCTGCGCACAGTGAGCTCATGTTCGGGGACGTTTTTCCTGTCAGGGATTACTGCATCAGCCAGTCCCTGCAGTGACCCTGTGCGGCCTTTCCAGAGAGGGGGTAGTTACTAATCACCTGCAATATGGTGTTGGGGACCCTTCGGTTAGCATGAGACAGACGAGCATGGGACAGTTTGTCTTGGTGGGAGCCAGGGCTGTGCCACCTCCTGATCCTTTGAGCTCCAGCCTCGTGTTCTCCCCATTTGGAGTCTCTGCTCCCAGAAGCACCCTGCAGCCATCTGTTCTCCCGCCCTCCCTGGGTCTCCAGCCAGGCTGTTTGCCCATGCCCAGCCTGCCTTGGCTTAGCTGGGAACGGCCCAGGCCTTGGGCTCTGTTGTCTCTTTGGGATCCTCCACCACGGGGGCAGGTGCGACGAAATGGGAATTTTTTGTAATATTTTTGAGTCCCGCTTGCCTCCGTTTCCCCTATATTTTGCATGGCTACCCAGTGGGGGGGAAGGATTGTTTGCTCTCAGGGCAGACGGAGAGACGTGGGGCGGGGGGTGTCCTCACTGTCTGAGCGGACTGAAGTGGTCATTAGAAAGGACTGGCTGAGACTGACCCATATCAATGGAAAACCCCGGTCACCAGCACATTGACAACTGGCAACCAGTGCCCCAGCGCCTCTCAGAGGGGAGCTGAGCAGAGACCCTGGCTCGAGACCAAAGGACTGGGGGGTGGGAGCGGGGGGGAAAGAGCTCTTCTGGGAGAGGCTGGGAGCTCTCACTGCTTGGCCTAAGGAAGGACGTCAGAGACAGCTGGCAGGGCATTGCTCTGGGCTGATGGGACCTGCCTGTGCTTTAACGCTTATGGTGACCTGAGCTCTTCCCACGCTGGCTTCCAGCTGCCTAATAGACCCGCCGGTGTGAGTGTCTCCGGTGCATCGGTCCCTGCGGAGTGGACTCTACCAGGAATCCCCCGTTCCCTCCCCCCCGGGTGCTGGGACTCAGGCCTAGGAAACATTCAACCCCTGCACAGCTGGAATGGGGAGGGGTTGGTTTCCATGGAGCTGGGGGAATTTATGCTGGGCTGTGGCTCTGCCGAGGTTAGTGGGGTGCTCCAGAGAGTTCAGGCTCAGCCGGAGCTGAAGGCTGTCCCCCAGGTCTCCTGGCCGCCTATCTGTGGGTGCGCACCTTGGGGGCAGGCCTGCCCCTCACCCTGGTGCCTGGGCTGACGTTCCTCTCTATCCTCCGCCCCACCCCTCAAGAGGACGTCAGCCTTCACTTCGTGCTGTGGAGCTGCCTACACGTCTACCAGCGCATGATGGACAAGGCGACGGATGTGTGCCTCTTCCTGACACAGCTCGGCGAGATGGTGGGCCAGCTGGCTGTGCTGACCGGGGAGCCCCTCATCTTCACCATCAAAGCCAACCGTGACTGCACCTTCCTCAAGATCTCCAGGTTGGACTTCTACGAGTTGGTGTCACCCTTCCCCTCCACATCCTGTGGGCAGGGTCTGCCCACCTCCCACCCCACTTCCATCTAGACTGGTGGCCTGGGTCAGATTGGGGCCAGTGCTCCCTAGAGGGGAAAGGCACCGTGTCCCATTCCCCACCCCCATAAACCAGCCAGTCCTCTGCCCTGGGCTGGATTGGAGCTGCCTCCCCCTAGAGGGGAAAGGCCCCATGTCCCAGTCCTCCAATCATGCACCTGTTGCATGGGCCTGGATTCTCCTGCCCTGGGCTGTGATCTGTCCTGGTGCCATGTTTTCTTGGCTGGCTCTGTTCCAGAGGAGGTGGGTGACTCAGGGATGGGGCGGCTGCAGTCAGCAGCGCACTGGCAGCAACGAGGCCACCTGTGCACTGACGAGCTGCCCGCTCTCTCCCCAGGATCGTGCGGGAACAGCCCAGTGTGGTGCTGAGTGTTGGCCATACTGTGGCCACCCGCATGTCCCCATTCATGCACCAGATGGACTTTGCCATCGATTGGATGGCAGTGGAGGCCAAACGGGCTTTGTACAGGAGAGTGAGGCCTGTGCTGGCGGGGGAGGGGGGTGCTGGGAAATCCTGGCTGGGGAACCCCAGTTTCTCCGCCTAGCCCATGGCACAGCTGGGACCAACAGTCCCTGCTGTGTTTAACCCTTTCTGCGCCAGGGTAACGGGCACCCCTGTTACTCTCAGCCTCGTCTATGCCCTTCCTGCAGCAAAAATGACTCAGGCATCCCAGCTCTCTGGGCGGGCGCTGTCCAGGCCAGCAGCCGTGCTGTTTCCAGAGGGGCCAGGCGAGACCTGACCAGCTGCCTCTGACCCCTCCATGGGACTCAGGTTTTCACCTGGACTGACCTCACTTCAATCCCTTCCTGGTTGCAGATGTTGGATTGAGAGCAGCCCGGGTGCTCTGGGGATGGGGGCATCCCAGCCCAGGGCAGGTGCCAGCTGGGGCTGTCAGACTTGCCACTCATTGCATATGCTCTCCCAGCCCAGGCGGTAGGGGGCGTTCTCCCTGGGGCAGACACCAGCTCAGCATTCAGACTCACCGCTCACTGCATGCACTCTCCCAGCCAATGTGGTAGGGGACGCTCTAGTTCTAGGGCTGGAGGAACCCAGCCCTGGGGAACCTAGGTCCTGCAGGATAGCTCCATTGGGAGGGGACTTGTAGAAAGAAGGAGTAGAGCTCCATATGAACACACAAGTGACACAAGCAGCACATTGATAGAATTACAGACCCTCCTCCCCCAGAAGAGTAACCCTAATCAATGAGCCTACCCAAAGTGCCGGGCACATCTGGTAATTGCATGCAAAAAGCCTTTAATGATGATGCTGGGAGATTGCTTTAGGTGAAAAACTGCTGTAATAATTGATTTTAGCCTGTTAATGTAAAATTTAGACTCTAAGAAGCATGTTATGATTTTCATTTTATATGTAACCAGTTCTGTTTCCATTATCCTGACTCAGTACCTCTTAAATCTTAATCTTTGATAATAAATGTAGGATTATTCCACTATACATATATCTCATTGCTACGAGGTTATAAACGATCTGATCTTGAGCTGTACCAATCAAGTTGTTTGGATTCTGATCCCTGGTAATTTCTGTGAGTGTCCTGTGACAGTAACCCGATGCTACTGAGGGACACTTTCAGAGGGGCTTGGGGGCTGCGGTGCAACTACTGTTACTGTGCAAGGCAGAGCAAGGGCTGGCAGAGCCCTGTGGAGATTGGTAGGATGGCTAACAGACCGGTGATGTTATGCTTGACTAGATATCAGCTCCCTGAGAAAATCTTCCTCTCGCCAGATGGGTAACAAGGTGACTCAGAGCCTGGGCACCCCAAGAAAGCTGCACACATACCCCTGTAACCTGCTTTCCCTCCTCCAGGTGCCTCTTTATCTTAGCCAAACCTCAAATATGTTCAAACCGTGTTCAGATATGTTAAGGACTGTTACAAAGAGGACCCTGATCAACTGTTCTCCATGTGCACTAGAAGTAGGGGAAGTAGGAATCAGCTTAATCTGCAGCAAGGGAGATTTAGGTTAGATATTAGGAAAAACTTTCTAACTATAAAGATAGATAAGCTCTGGAATAGGCCTCAAAGGGAGGTTGTGGAATCCCCATCATTGGAGGTTTTTAAGAACCCATTAGACCAAGAGCTGTCAGGGACGGTCTAAGTATAGTGCCAGTCGTTCTCTTGTAGTGCAGTGGGGGAAGCTAGGGACTCCAATGGTTCCTCTCGGATAAAGTCTTGCAGTACACAAACAGGGACTTGGCTTAGAAAAGCAGAAATGCCTTCCCTCGCCCACTATTGCAGGCACCTATTCTAAGTCTGTAAGTAAACAGACGCGGTTCACTGATAGCCTTCTGACCCAGGAATAGACTAGACAGGAGGGAGGATAACTCACCAGAACACAGTCCATTCCACTTACAACCCAGAATTCATCAGCAACACTGAATTCCCAGAAAAACAAAGATGAGAATATGATTAAGAACCAGACCCCAGATCACTAACTACAGGGATTAGATCTAGCTTTGTGGGTGTCACGGACTCACAGATCGTGCCCACTCGTGGCCCTGTGCGGTCCGTGGGGGGGGCACCCCTTTCAGTGAGACAGCCCTTCTCGGGGGTTCACTCTCTCTCGGGGTTAGGCCCCTCCACCTCCTGGAGCCGCACCTCTCTGAGCCTTAGCACGTCTGTCTCTCGCCGTGGGCCCCCTCAGGGAGTCCACTTGTTCTGGACCCCCCGGGGCCTCCCTCCCCCTGAAGGGGATGATGCAACCCTGTTCTCTAGACCGGAGTGACTCTCAGCCAGCGTAAAACAGGAGGGTTTATTGAGCATTGAACACAACACAGGAAACACTCAGGGCCTCAGGCCTGACCTCCCTCAGCCCAGTACATCCCAGTGTCCTTGCATCCAGGTGGGCGCTGCCTGCCCCTCCTCTCCAGCCCAGAGCCCCCCTGCTTCCCAGCTGCATCTGAGATCACCGGCCCCAAGTCCCCCTCTGTCCATTGTCTTCTCTCCAGGTAAACAGGGTCGTCTGGGCCTCCTTTCCTCTCTGCCCTCCTCTGGCTGGAACCGGCTGGTTGGGTCATGGGGTCCTTTCTTCACATCCCATTGTCCTCCCACTGGCTAGAACCAGCTGTGACTCCTGAGCTGGGTCTCTGGGTCATCAGGTCAGCGGTCGCTGGGGTGTCCATCCTCCAGCCTATCGGCTGGGGTCCCAAGTTCCCTCTCCGGTCCTCTGGAACAACAAACTCCCTCTCCCCTCACCTCGTTAAACCTGTAACACCCAGGGACACTGAGTTCCACTCCCTCTGCATGCAAATCATTGGAAAACCACAAAAATATAAGAAAATTCCCGCATTTCGTCACAGTGGGGATCCTGGAAGAGTAGTTAGAAACCCAGAGAGGCACTGAACTGACGTCTTCTTCCATCTCTGCAGAGGAAGGGTAAGGGAGGAAGCCCGCACATCATGGTTACAGTGAACATGCAGGAAGCCCCAATTTCTCTGAAAGAAGAAATCAGGCCTCTGAGCAATTGAAACAGATACTTCAAACAGTTTAGTAGGAAATGTGTGCACAGTAAATCCAAAATCTGGAGCTGGGTTATTTACATATGACGTTGTTTGTGAGATAGTTGGCCAGCACCTGAAAAAGAAATGTGAAGAGTCATGAGTATTTGTCCAGTGCCCCTTAATACACATAAACAGAGTGGAGAATACTAGGGAATACCAATCTGATAACATGGACCGGGAATAAGCTGCTGGATACGGTATAGAGAGCAAACATCAACACAGGAAACACTACATGATTAC